TAGCTCTATCCTAGGGTCACTGTGGGGAGAACATGAGATAGTATAGGATTATTTTGAGACACACAATAGAGGATATCTCTATGACACAGCTGAACCATAAGAAGGCCCCCACATTGGATGCAGTAGAATGCTGGGCCTCATCAGACTCCTGGCCTCCACTCTTCGCTCAAAAACACACTAGTGTTACCTTGGACAAGTGCTCTGACCTTTCTAGGCCTCAGTTTCCCCTTGTGCAATAAAGGATAACAAAGTAACCACACAAGGTCACTGATTAAAGTAAATATTGTATGTACAGTTCTTGGCATGGCAGCCAGCCCACGGTAAGGGCTCTGTGTTAGCTGTTCATTCCATCCAGTAAGGATGTGGCAGATAAATTATACTCGGAGCTGTCTTTCCCCACACCCAGCCCTCGCCCTCAAATTCAACAACGTCCCAGCCTTGTGGGACTGTCTCTGCCATGTTGCACATGAGCAGTTGCTTGTAGAACCAAGACTTAGTATAACCTCCAACAAGTTTCTCCCGGATGTATGAGGCAAGAGCTCTAGAAATACAATCAGCCCCAGACTCCCCAAGCCCAAAGGGAAGATAATTCAAAACAGTAGAGGGGCTTTCCCGGTGGTGCAGTGGTTGAGAGTCCGCCTGCCGATGCAGGGGACACGGGTTCGTGCCCCGGTCCGGGAAGATCCCACATGCCGCGGAGTGGCTGGGCCCGTGAGCCATGGCCGCTGAGCCTGCGCGTCCGGAGCCTGTGCTCCGCAACGGGAGAGGCCACAACAGTGAGAGGCCCGCGAACCGCAAAAAAAAAAACAACAAAAAAACAGTAGAGATGACTGGGGAGACTAAATGGTCTTCATTCACTTTATCCATATTAAAATTAGCTTGCATTTCTTGTATGTCTTCTGACAGCAAGGATAGCTAGATGTCAGAGGCAAGTTATTTGGCGATTTAGAGGTAAGCCAATAAATAGTTAACATAGACAAAAAAATAAAACTGAACTATGTAAATTCTAAAGAATGAGTTAAAAGTAAATTATGGACCCAGGTCGAGTCACAAAAGTGATTGAGGAAGATTTTTACTACAGAATGCCCCAGAGCAGAGGAGTATTTGAAATGTAAGTAAAAGCACTTGAAAGAGTAAAAAGGAATATTTGTACTCTGACAAGGAGAGCTAAAACTGCAGAAAGACTCAGTTGATGGCAAGGACTCTATCTGGCACCCTCCTGGAAGCTCACACCCAGAGACTTTTGATTTGATTTTTTTTAATCGAGATGTAACTGACATATAACACTATTCATTTCAGGTGTACAACATAATGAATCAACCTTTGTATATATTGCAGAATGATCACCATGATGAGTAGTTAACATCTGTCACCTCACGTAGTTACAATTTTTTTTTCTAGTGATGAGAACTTTTAAGATCTACTCTCTTAGCAACTTTCAAATATGCAATCCAGTATTATTAACGATAATCAACATGTTGTACAGAGAGTTTTGACTTAAAAAAAAGCCCAATCTGTATTGAAGTACCTTACAGTGGTAGGATACCAGGTTTCTTTAAATATTAAATCAGTCTGTAAGCTGTGTGTGGCATATGTGCCCTTTACAGAAATTAGATTTTTTATATCTAGAAAGCAGAGTAAATATTTACCAAGGGCCAGAATACTATGTAGATCTGGATGATAATCTAAGAAAGCCACAGGAAAAAAGCCTTTCAATCGTTCCCAACTTTCGGAAGTCAAGTGAAAAGTCTGACAGACTGGACCAGACTTTTAACAAAGTAGAGTCCATGGGGGGTTGGTTCCAGGACCCGTGAGGATACCAGAATCAGTGGATGCTCAAGTTCCTCGCACAAAATAGCATTATATTTGCATAGAACCTTAAAGTACATTCTCCCACAGACTTTAAGTCATCTCTAGACTACTTACAATACCTAATACAGTGTAAATGCCATGTAAACAGTAAATATGTAAATGCTACAATATGTAAATAGCTGCTGGAGCAAAGCAAATCAAATTTTGCTTTTTGGAACTTTCTGGAATTAAAAAATATATATTTTTTAAACCCGAGGTTAGTTGAATCCACAGATGTGGAACCCGAGGATATGGAAGGCGAACTGGACTGCTCACACAAGACCCCTAAAACTGCTTCCCACCACACTGGTATTAAGGCTCAGAGGAAGCATGCTTATTTAATATGAAATGTAAATTATTTCCATTTCTGAACATACAGTACACTATGTTGCAAAGTGCAGGGCCTCTCTGCCCCAGGGGTGCTCTCCAGCTGGGACTGAATTCATGCTCACAGATGATGCTGATTGTGGATCGATGGATGACCTGCTTGCGGTGGTTCACTAGGCTATGTGGGTCCTGCAGCTACATCCGCAGGCGGAAACAAACCCAGGAGTGCTGTCCTCCAGCCGGAACCGTGGGAAGGGTAACATACCATTTTCTTTTTCTCGATTCTCTGAATATGTGAATAGGGAAGTGAAAAGCAATGGAATCCACTTCAAACCGAAGGAGAAAACTTCATTTCACCTGCTGGCATCTCTACCATGTGCTAATGTAGGCAAGCTTTTAAACAATAATTATGATAATAATAATAGCTCCCAGTCATGGAGAACTCTCTTGTGAGTTAAGCACTTTGCATACTTTACTGCTTAAAGTAAATTTCCTCATCTGTAAATTAAAGATAATAACGCACCCATTTTATTATGTTATTATGAGGATTCAAGGAGAAGAGATGGAAAAAGCAGTTTGCAAATTGAGGCAGCAGGGCCAAAAAGGACAGGGTTTGAAAGAGACAGACATGGGTTAAAATCCTAACTGCGATTTCTACTGTTTGATCTTGTTGAGTTCCAGTTTCCTTTTCTCCAAAGTGGAGATGAAGCTACCCACATTGGAGAGGAATTGAAAGAGACATTAGGTCAAACACCAGCTGGTGTCTGCATTACCAGGAGGTTCATACCCTCTCTCCTATTATACATGTGAACTGCTTCTGTTAACCTCCATCAGCAGCCATTCAATGTCCACAGAATCCAAAGATGCATTTCCTTTCCTAACAATAATTTTACTCAGTTTAATAAGCCAGACACTGGTTCAGTAGCTTTAAATCTATGAATTCACTTAATCCTCACCACAATCCAGAGAGATAGGTAACTGTTATCCCCATTTTACAGACAAAGACACTGAGGCACAGAGTTTAGGTAACTTGCCCAGATTCAAACAGATGGTACCCAAGCTGCCAGCATGGCTCCCTAGTCTGTCCTCCTAACCATGATGTGACAGTGCATCATGTTAGGAGGGGGTCAACCTGTTTGTGCTTCCATGCTCAGATGTAATCTCTTCTAGAGATGAGCAATGGCTGCTCTCACCAAGTACAAAGTGTTGACTATCTTTTCAACTTTTGAAATTACATTTTGTGTATTTTCTTAGAATTGCTTAAAAAAAACTATGATATGTTTTTAAATGAGGTGCCTATAACTAGTTCATCTTGTTCCATGTGCTAGAATGCTATAAATAAATGTGCTTCTTTTTCTAAAGAGTACCTAAATAAATCCTACATCAAAACACAACCCTGAGTTTTGGTTTAAACGTCTACTACAAGTCCACATTAAAAAAGATATATTAGGGCAGTCAATGTTATCTGTTTTATTAAACTAATGACTTCTGTACCAAGAAGTTGGAATATTCTCCTTATTTCTAATATTCACTGTCTTAACAGTCATAGCAGTACTGTATGGTATTTCAAAGTACTCCTTTTACAAATTTAATCAACTCAAATATTAAACATCAATGATGATAATCTATTGCTCTGCTTAAAAGGAATCTCTAGGGCACAGACGAGAGAAAGGTTAAAGAATTCTAGAATTCTATCCTTCAAAGTAGGGCAGGGCAGCTACCTATAAATCATGCTCTTTGTTTATTAAGATAATTAAGCCTATCAGTACACTTAACTTTCAGACTCAACAATTGTCTGGCATGAACCATTTCCACTTTTTCTAAAACAAAGGGGATGTGTTCAAAGGGGTCCTCTGCAAGCTCTCTGTACAATGCATGCTATTTTAAAACATGATTTATGTGTCTAATTCCTGGAGCTGCCTTGAAAAATATACTGGGGTTTTCCTTGCACATTCCCTATTAGGAGAAGACACTCCAATTTGAAGAGTGCACTCTGTTTCAGACTGCAGAGCGCTATATCATGTCAACATTTTCATTAAATACGTTCAAGCTAGACCTTAAACAAATGGAATGGAGAGCCACAGCTGCAGCCACTGCAGAGACAGTTATCCTGCCGGGAGGCTTACATAAGAGGTGGAGGACAGTAAGGGTGAAACCCAAGTGTCATCATCTGAACACTATTGCTTTGAGACTTGCTCACATTCTTAAAGTGTATGAAATCATACACGCTGAGCGGGTTTCTCATTTTATTTGCCTTATAGCACAGAACTCTAGGTTGACATATAAGTTGTCTTTCCCTGAAGGACTGGTCTCCAATTACAACTTCTGCCTAGGGGAAGAGAAAAGTGGGATGCGCGGGAAGCCTGGAGGCCTGAGAGGGAATGACTTAGCCCCCATCCCCAAAGATCTATCGCATCCAGGAATATTACTAGAGTCATTTCCTTGATGACTTGCGATGGAGGTGACAGGACCCCCCTAACACCCCCCAGTCCCCCCCCCCCGCGCGCGCGCGCGCGCGCACACACACACACACACAGTCAAAGGGCTTGGAATGTGCAATCAGCAGCAGGCAAAATGCCCTCAGAACACCTGTCCTCTCACAGCATTTCCGTCTGGCACGTTCAGCAGAGGCTGGAGCCAGTTCTCCCGGGACTGCTTCCTCTCCCCGCGTGCCCTGTCCGCGGCTTCGCACCCTCAACTCCCCAAGCTGGAGCCCTGCTAACAAGAGGTGCCATCCCCAGCTTCCCACGACGTGAAGATAACAAAAACGAACCTCCCCTTCCCGTGGCGCCCTCCAACTTCAAAAACTACAGTCAACTTACTGGGACGCAGGCGACAGGGAGCCTTCGGGGGGGACCGCACTGCCGCTGCGCACAGAGCGCCGCGGCCCCGCACTGCCCGGGCGGCGGCGGGTGCGGGGCGAGGTGCTGCCGCTCTGCACCAGCCGCCTTGGCTCCGCGGTGACAAGCGCGGCGGCGGCGGCGACGACAGAGGTTGCACCCGGCCGCGCGGTCCCGAGCGCTGCAGCTGCCGCCCGCCCCGGAGTGCGGCGCTTCGAGCCTCTGGTGCGTGTCTCCGGCTCCGAGGGAATCGGGGCTCAACAAGGAAGGCGGCCAGGGAAAAGCCGAGGCGCTGTAGCGGGGAGAGCTGCCAGCCCGCTCCCAGGCGGTCGATCACATCGCAGGCGCGCCGACAAGCGAGCGGGAAGGCAGGCACGCGCCGCACTCGGCACTCGCCGCCGCGCCGCGGAGAATGACAACCGCCGAGGCAGTGCAGCCGTGCGGGGCGCGGGACGCGAGTGCGCATGAGCCCGGCCCTCTGCGGCACGTCACGGGGGAGGGCGGGGCGGGGAGGGGGCGAGGCGGGCGGGGCCGGATCGGGGCTCGGGGCGGACCCGGGTGCGATGCCCCGCTCCTTCGTGGGAAGGTACCGGAAGTCTCCCGCCTGGGGTTCGGTGAACCTTAAGCTGTGTGGTTGAACTTGTTTGTCTCCAGAGTCCATTGTCTCTGAAAAAATCACTGTTTAATCTAAGCGATCCATAGGGCCCCTGGCAAGCCTACAAAAGCCGATTTAACTCAGGTTATAGTTTAACCTTAAAAAGCTGGGATTTAGGGGACAATGTACCTTGGCTGTACATTAAAGTAACTTACGGAACTAGTAAGAGCCTTTTTGCCCTGTCCGCACCCCAGAATCCAGAATAGTAAGTACATGAGAATCTCTAGATGGGGCCCAGGTATCATTAGGTTGTAAAGCTTCCCAGGTGACACCAAGGTACAGTAGAGCTTCTCAAAGGTGTGACAGAATCTTCTAGGGATTTTGTCAAAATGCTGGTTCTGATTCAGTAGGTTTGGGCACTACGGGGCGATTCTTCATTTCTAACAAGCTCTCAGATGATGTCAGTGCTGCAGGTCCAGACCACCCTATCTTGGCTACTGGAAGTGTGGTCTAGAGTCCGGAGTAGAGCTTCCGGTCTGCGTGAGAATCACCCGAGTAGCTTTCTGGAAATGCAGAGCATATTCACGGGCCCTATCTACAGTGGTTATGGTTCAGCGGCTGGGCAAAGGTGGGTCTCTGGAATTCCATTCCTAAGGAGCACTCTCGATGAGTCTGATATAGGTGTTGTTTGAACCAAACTTCAGGATATTAGACCAGCAGCTAGGAGTTGAGAATAGACCTTTGCAGTGAGAAGCACCAAGCCGGGTATTGAACTCAAGACATCTGACTGCAAGTCCAACTCCAATTGGTGCTTTATCTCACTAGTCCAAATTTTCTACAATTATTATGCATTACTTTACTTAGTAGGAAAAATATATAAATCATGTTAAACACACACAACACACACACTGTATTCCTTACACGTATCATTAAAGGAGGCTTAAATCTGGCCTGGGAAGAAGGCTGATCAGGAGGGGAGGTATGGGAGTAGGGAGCAAAGTGATGGAGTAAGAGATGTTAGATGGCCTGTTCCATAGTGCATTGCAGAGGGAAGGCTGTGTAGCAGGAAACAAATCTAGGTTCTGGAAAGGTGCCTTGGAGAAGAAGATCCAGGGACTGGACGTGGTCTCCTGTCCAGTAGCACAGGGTGAACCTCAGGTATTCCAGAACTTATTAATTTATGGTACATCATATACATTACCTCACTGAAATCTCACAATGGTCTCGTAAATTGGATAAAAGAGATTTATGCTCATTTTACAGATTTTAAAATGTTGACTTGCTCAAACAGTGGGACTTGAATGAGAGTACAGATCTGAGTGTTAGACACAGCTTCTATAATTCTAAGGAAAACAATTCAGATCTTACAAGAAAAATGCTTTCTGTTTATTAATGCATATCCTTTAAAGGCTGTGCCTAAGTTTTGGGTTAGAAAAGCTTTCATTTTTGGAGGGAAAAAATCCATTTTGCATCTTCACAGCAGTTTTGCAGCTCCACAAATTGGGATACATTACAGTTACACAGGGCAGGCTTCACTGAGAGGTTCAAAGAGCGACACTCACATTTTCTGGTGACAAGTGTGATTACCATCCTCATTTTATCCAGGCCCAAAGAAGCTAAGTGATTTAGGCAAAATCCAGGCAAGAGCCAGTCTCAGGCCTCTGTCCTTCTCCTCTGCTCTCCTGTCACCAAATAACGTCCTGAAGATTGTTTTACATTTCCAAATTTTTACTGATTTGCCATCAGTAAATTAGAATCCAAAGGTATTCCAAAGTCACTCCTTGATATAGAACCATAAGTGTCAGGAACAATTCTTGTGCTTGCGGTAAATACTCTGGACTATATTCCCAATGTGAATAAAGTTTTGGAAGAAAGTGTGTGATGTTTATATGCAGTCTCCCAATCCAGAGGTTTGCTTTGGAATGCTATACTGTAAACTATGTCCGACCCACCTTTGTCTTTACCTCCAGTATAACTCTTCCATTAGAGCTATTCCTCTGTGTGATTATGAAAAAATTAATAAATGAATGCCTAATTAAAAGAGAATTCTCTATAAATGAGGGAGATGGTTGTGGAAATTTGTTAGTTCAGTTTTTAATAAGAAAATATTTTAAATTACAAAAAACACAAAGTTAGCATAACAATCATGTTGGGACTTTTAGGAGAGGTGTCCAAAGTTGTCATCCTGTTTTCTTAGGTGTTAGAAACTCCAATCAAAATATTTATCTGTATAGTGTATGAATTCACTTGAATATTGACTTTAAGAGAGCCAAGATTTAATTTTATAAAAAGTTAATTAGTATGACCCAGCGCCACTGTATTTTGAGTTACTATCGTTGGCATTAAACACAGGAAATATGTAATTGTCCTAATATTGACTGTATTAATATTGATCGTATCTGATCTATAATTTGTTTCTGATTAGCTGCTGTTGTTGTTTGGCAGGGATAGCAGCCAGAGCTGCTCTGAGCTATGTATTCCTTAATGGGTCAGCAAAGTCTGCTCTTTGGCTGAGAATTTCTTCATTCAATGTCTCTAAAAGTCCCAATAGTGAGGATTTCAATTATACAGATGCTAGCGACTCCATTGAACCTATTCTCTGCCCATTCAAGAAACTGTACCTAGAATAGATTTTGATTACACTCTTTCTGCTGAGAATCATGGGCTTATCACTGAGCTGAGAGGTTTCGGCCCCCAAATTCTCTGTATTTGTTAATTACATTTCTTCATCCGTTTCACTCAAAGAGATTCTTGGACATGAAGATCTTCCACCCTCTGCCTAATTCACAGTGATAGTTCAGGTCAGAGAACTGTGGGGAGCCCAGGGGACTGGCAAAGCTGAGACAGAAGTGGGCACATAGAGTTAGATTTCACCAGGGAAAACTGAGGTTGCCATAAAAATGAACACGAGTTGTTCTTGATTTTTTGGACATGGTTTATTACCAGGTTTGCCTTGTTTGAGCACATGCAGCTGCTAGTAACTTCACTGGAAACCAAAACTGAATCCCTGGTGGGATGTTAGGGATCAGGGAGGTGGGAGTGGAGATAGGTAGGTTAGCATTCTGTCTTTCTTATCCTGGGCAACTTTTGAAAACTATTGAAAAGCCCAATTCCTCTTTCCCTGACACAGGAAAGTTAAGAAGCACCTGAATTTCAAATGCTTACTTCTCAATTGTTTGTTCTAAAGAGTTCGTTTAGAACTTAGGACAGCCTGATCTGGATTTTTCAGGCTAGCTCCATAATGTTTTTTAAACCTACAAATAAATTAATATGGTGTTTACTGCAACTCCAAGCTTGAAAGGAAATAGGTGCTGGATGAGAATTCTGGCTCAATGGTAAGAGAGGGGTCTGGGGCAGGGGAGAATGGAATTTAGGGACCAAAGAGGAAGACTGCCTATGGTGTGGGTGGCTGAGAAGCAGAGGCTGACAAAGACTGTTTATCAGTAGCCTCTGAGATGAACTTTGGAGAAGTATGAGCCTGTGACCAAGAAGAGAAATAGCAGTTGAAACTGTACCTGCAGCTCAGCACTTGCATTTCCTTAAAGTGTTAAGGGTGCCACGTTTGACTTAATCTATAGGAATGAATGATCAGAAATTACTAAATAGGCTATAAATCCCTTATAAATAGATACATGTTTAAAGAACTACTGCAGAAATGTACATTCAATTTTAATCTCTAAGAATTACCTACCCCTCCCTCCCAAGCAAGTTGTCCACTAATAGAAGGAGAAGGCGGCCAGTTGAGAGACCATGTGCACAGTTGGAACCACACAGAAGCTCTGGCTTCCAGAATCCCCATCTGTCAGCTGTAATCACATGGCTACCATCTTTGATTACCTAACATGGAATAACAATAGTTTTAAGCACATAGTAGGTTCCTAATAATGCCAGATATAGGGTTAGCTTTTTTTTTTCTCCTAGAGTTAAAGGCTGTAGCTAGATGTCTCCTAATGCCCATTTTATCATTTTAATGTAAGCAGTGATTAACCATAGTTTGTAAGGGAGTGCTTTCCCTTTTTGACAGAAGACTTAAGAATGACTTTAGGCCTCCTCTGAGAACAGGGAAACCATGAAGAAAAGGCTTTCAGGGGAGATCAAGACAAAGCCTGCTAATGTTACTCTCTGGCCTCACACTGTACTGCAAAGGAAAAAGCAGGGCTTAGGACTTGACACTTCCAGATCTTTCTATTGGAAGAAAGAAATTATGATGGGAAAGAGACAGTACTTACAAAAGTGAGAACAGAGAGTGTCTTAAGGGAATGTCTTTACATTACAGATTAAAGAAAGGATACCCATCATCCTTTGTCATCCTGACCTTACCTATTCCTTAAATTTCTATCCTGACATTGCTGCTCAAGATTCGTGGCTGTAAAAGTGATGCGAGGATGTGTTACTCATCATGTTGACCGAGATTCCTTAGGTTCACTTTTTCCCTCTTCTGCCTTTATCACTTCCATAGAATACAATTCTCACAAGCTCAAGTTTGA